CTGCTTCTCCCTCTGACCCTCCCCCCTCTCATGTACTCTCTCTCATTCTCGCTCTCTCAAATAAATAAATAAATCTTTAAAAAAAAAAGAAGTCTTTACTGAGCAGGTCTGCTGGGTTGGTTAGACCACCTTACGCCTCTGGAGCAGATCCTAGTACAGCTAATTGTTCACAGCACTGAATGTCAAGGTCTGTCCTTCGTTCGGAGTGTATCCTTCCTTCTTTGTTAGACTTATCTCTTTTTATGAAATGACAGTGATGTTGGATAGTATTTGCCTTTTTTAATATCTTTATTGGGAAAAAAAAAGTTAGCAAACTATCTCAAATTTTTACTGGTACTTGAAATCCCAAAGTCTGGGACTTAAGGCACAGCTCTGGCCTTGGGGAGATTTCCAGAAGAGTCAGAGCCTAGAGGGGGTAGGATCTAAAGAGGCTCTCATTTTCCAGCACCCCAACTGAGCCAGCCAGGGTATTGGGCATCACTGAGCTATTAAAATATGATCAACAGATAAGTTTATTGAGTACAAAGGATAGCTAGAGTCCTCGTGGGTCCAAGAGGCCCACAGCAAAGCAAGAGTTCTGCTTCAGGGACGGTCTGGAGAGTCCTGGAAGAACTCATTGCACATGATAGTGACAAGGGCCAGAAAAACAGCATACTCCTGGAAGTCCACCTGCTGGTCACTGTTCTCATCCAGATTGCCCATCAGCTTCTTCAGGCCCTCCTCATCCACCTTCTCCTGAAAGTGAAAAAGAATGGTTCAGCAGGCTGCTCTCCACCCACCCCCACACCAATCACACACCTACTGGTCAGAGCCTAGCCCTCGCTCCGCACTGGGCAGTGGGTACGTGGTGGGCAGGGACCTCCTGGGAGCTACAGAGAGGCTCTGGGAATGAAGACAGGTAGACGTTCACTGGGGAGGGTCTCCAGCTGTCCCTGCTGGGAGTGAGGAGCACCCAGGTACTCCCTGAGCCCAACAAGGTGGGCATCACTACCCCCACTGTGCTGATGAACAAATTAAAAATTTCTGAATTCAGAAAAGGCAAACTTTTTAATACCAGCCAAAATGAAACCAAATTAGAAAAGCTTAACCAAAAAAAATTTTTTAAAGGAATAAAGGACATGCCCTATAAGTTCAAAGCCTGAGAACTGACTTTGAATTCTTCAGGAGTTAATATGAGGCAGGTGAGGGGCAAATTGAAAGTTGACTGCATTTTTCTGCCAACTGTCCCAGGGCGCATGTGTTAGCTGGGCTCTTCTCTCCCTACATACCTTCTTAGTTTGGCATATAACATGGAAACTAAGAGCGAGAGAGCTGTGTGCTCTTGGGCAGTCACTTCCCCTCTCTGGGCTTTGGTTTGCTCAACTCAGTGAGGGGATTGGACAGATGGACGCTGAGGGCCCTGACAGCCATCCATCCTCTGGAGAGCCCCAGGGGCGGCAGTGACAGGGCACTCACACGTGGGTGGGCCTCGGCCCCCTCTGTGAGGCTGCGCCCTGTGTCTGCATCAGCAGGCAGCCCCCACACATACATCAGGACCCTCCCACCCCAGCCAGCCCCACTCACCCCAACAAAGCTGGGCAGCTCCTTGTGCAGAAGGGCCTTCATCTCCCCCTTACTCAGCTTGAACTTGTCACCCTCTTGGCCAGAGTACTTGTGGAAGGTGGTGACCATCACAGCCAGTGCGTGCTCCAGGGGACTGGACATCTTGGATCTGGGGCCACAGGGGTGGCAGGTGATGGAGACACTTCATCCCAGCCCGCAGGACACTCTGCCCTTGTGCCCCAAAGTGCCTCACCAAACCCCCTCTGCATCTCCCGAGACTGTTCCTCCCTGAGGAGTCATCTCCCCCATAGACGAGGGACCCCCAAGGCCAGAGGAAGTATCCTTGGGCAAGTATGTTTCCTCCACTGGACTAAGGACTCTCAGAGGATAGGGATGAATCTTCCCTCCCAGTAGAGACCTCTGAGCCGGGAAGGGGGAGAGGGGTACTGTCTCTATCAGACAGGCGAAGGCCACTGAGCAACCCTCCCCACCAGGAAGGATCCTACTGAGATTGGTACTAAAGGAATTACATGTCCTGGGCCCTGGGAACAGCAGGACAGAACTCAGAGGCCATCTTTTCCACGGCTCTGCCTCTGAGAATGCTCTGAGCAGCCCCGGGATGCTTAGGGGGGAGTCCTGGGGTAAGGCCCCAGTACCTGGTGTCAGGGGCAAGTAAAGTTCTGGGCCCATCCGCTAGCTCTGCCTTCTCAAGGGGGAGGAGATGGGAAGCGGCAAAGGGCAGGGCATTATGCAGCTATGCAGGGCAGGGACCCAGGCAGGCCCACACACTTGAGATCCTGGCTCTTGTCCCTTAGTCCTGCTAGAATCCAGGACTTTGCAAAAACAAAAACCAAACTCAAGACTCTTGTTAAAGCACCACCCTCCACACCTCATATTCCTAGGCCTAGGCCCCCAAGAAGGGTCTCTAGATTGAGATGCCTAGACTGTGAGACCCAAGAGAAGGCCTCAGAGCAACCCCTAAACTAAGACCTCACAGAGGAGCCTGGAAAAAACTCTCAGTCGGACACTTCACACAAGGTCCCCCAAAGGGAGAGACCCAGCATGAGGAAACTATGGAGACAAAGATTAAGAAAGAAGAATAAGGCAGAGACCCCTGGGGTCCCCCCACCCAGCCCTCAGCAAGACTGAGGCACTCACCAGACCAGATGACAGAGGCTCTGGAAGGAAAGCAAAGGGCCAGGCTCCCACACTGGGGTTTATATGCCTGCCCCACTGGCCCCCAGCCTGGCATTTCAAGGAAATCAAACCTGCCCCAACCTGATCCCGCTGAAGCCTGGCCTCCTGCCACCCCCACCCCAGACTCTGCCGCCCCCCTCCCCCCCACCGACTCTGCCAGCCCCACCACCAGCTGGACGAGAAGGCCCCACCTACGCCGCGGAGGGGAGTGGGAGGGGTCGTGGGGAAGCGGGGTAAGGGGCCGTCACCCCTGTTTGCACGACTGGAGTCTCGTGCCAGGCCTTGCTCGTTTGACACATGCTTGCGGGCCGCAGCTCATTTGTGAGTCAGAGGATACAGGCACCCAGGGACTTCCCAGGCCTGTGCGTGCGTGTGCGCGCACACACGCTTGCAAGCTGACTTTAGGGACTCACGGGGGTAAGCTTCGTAGCTGGCAACGGAAGTCCTCTTGGTAAGGTAATGAGGGAGGCGTGTGCCTAAAAACAGCTTGAAAGGCCCCCGTGGGTAGGAAGGCATCTGCAAGGAGGCAGGGAAGCCCTGAGGGACCCTGGCAGTGGGGGCGAGCAAGTCGGTGGGAACTGTAAGGAAGCCCCTGGAGGTTCGAAACGGAGAAGGGAAGGCTTGGGGTGGGCGAGTGAGGAGGGGCCGGACAGCTTCCCAAGCGGAGGCCTGGGCTGGGGCAGGCCACAGCCACGGCCCTCCTCACCCGCTCCCGCCAGGCTCCTCCCCAGCCCCAGAGGAAGGCCAAACTGCAGCCATTCAGGACCCAGCCCAGGGGCGGGGCTTTCAGAGAAGAGCGGGCTTCACGCAGCCCCCTCCCAGGCGCCGGGGCCTGCTGCTCTTCCTACCTCCACCAGTCCGGGCACCGCCCTTCCGGCCGCAAGCTCCCCTCCCCCTTCCAGATGTCCAGCCGCTTCTTTCCCCTCCCCCAGCGCCCCAGTCCTAGGTGACTCACCCACTGTTCCAGGCCCAGATGCCCGGGCAATGACTCAGCGGCACCCGCCTCCTCCCTGGAGGCCAGGGCAGCACTTGGAAAGCCCAACCCAGCCTGGGAGGAGAGGATGCTGGCACGGAGACCCTTCATGGGCCCCCGTCTGGGAGCTTGAGTTAGACACCGCAGAGGAGCTGGGACTGAGAACTGACAGGGTCAGATGGAAGCCAGGCTGCCCTCTCCTGGGGTCACCGTGGGACTCAGGGCAGCCCGAACAGTGCAGATGGCGTCAGGCCTTGGAGCCCCCGGTGTCCCCTCCTGTCCGAGGCACATGGACCCCTCATGCTACTGCTCCTCCCTATCAAACCCCGTTTCATGTAGAGCTTGAAGTAAAAGTCCTTCCCCCTGAGGGTAAAGCCCAATGGGTGCAACGCACTGCTTTTCGAAGCACTTCCTCCATTTTGCCTCAGGACGTGAGAGAAGGCCTCTCAGGCTCAGATATCGCAGCGGTGCCCATGGCTCCTCCACGAAGCCTGGCAGCGAGGTGCTTGGACTCTGGCCCCAGCCTGCTTTCCAAGCCCCTCTACACACACCCTAACTGCCTGGCTCACCGCGTCTTGAGCACATCATGCAAGCACCCGGTGCGCTGGGACCCCCTGCTTGTCCTGACCCCTGCTCCCCACATCTCTTCCTGTTGAAATCCCAGCTATCCTTCAAAGGCTGGGTAAATGCCACCTACTTCATGGAGCCTTCCCCGGGCCCAGCCAGATTCCCTCTCTACCTGCTCTGTCCCATACAAGGACTCCTTTTGTCCTTGTGCGCTAGAGCATCTGCCCTGGGCTGAATCATTCGAGTGCTTGTCTTCTCTTGCCCTCACCCCCACACGGTGAGCTCACTGGGCAGGGTCTTACTCGTTTCTGCATGAACAAAGGGTCTCACACACACCCCGTGCCAATGCAGTGGGCACTGGGGATGGTAGTTAGGAGCCAAGGGGCCTTCTGGTCTCCCAAATCACACCACGGACTCTGTTACCAAATCCTAACTTCCCCAGGTCCCAGAAGTGGCACTTAGACCCCGGGCTGGAAAACAGCTGGCAATCCCTGAGGGAACACCCGCTCTCGCCCTGGGGCCCAGGGAGGGAGGGAGCTGAGGGAGTGCCTCGCCAGCAGGGATGGACAAAAGGTCAGAGAGCCACAGGAACAGAAGGACTGTGAAGGGAATGAGAGAGCAGAGAGAGCGCCACTGACTACCAGGGGCAGCTCCGGGAGACCTGTCCCTCGCCGGGGACTGAGGCCCCGATGGTGCCCTCAAGTGGCCATATCCCTGAGACGGGCGAACATCACATTAATTTGCCACTCACTCTCGCAGTGTGAGTTGAGCAACACCCTCCCAGTCAGCAGAGCAGGAGGGCTGGACAGAATGACTCCAGCGTCCAATGCCAGTCCACATTCTCCACTTGGCCGTGAAGGCAGAGAAGCTGGGGCACAGCGGGGCCATGGGCACGTCCCTAGCAATGACTCTGCCCATGCCCAGCCTGAGAAGCTGGGTCATGGCTCTCTGTCCCCCGGGGCTGCTGGGGCCAGAGGCGTGCAGCCTAGGTGGCCGTCTCCCCGCCTGGTTCCTGCCCCCTGGTGGTTGAGACCTGTGGTTGCCAGCCAGCCCCACCTCCTCCCTACCGCCCTTCCCGGTCCCCAGCCCGGGCCCCGCCCGGCCCCTGACTCACGAAGGCGGAGGCAGTGCTGACTCACCTCCAAGGGGCCTTCCCACACCCACACCTTCACACCTGCCTGACACAGAAGGTGTTTCCTGGACAGTGCCTGCTGAGCAGCACAAGCAGAGCTTGGAGACGGAAGCCCATGTCTGGAAGCTATTAGGAGCCTTAAGGACAGGGGCAGGAGGGAACGAGGTGGCCTGAGTGAGGGACTGAACACTGCCAAGCTCTGCCCACACCCCGCTTTCCCCAGGACAATTCGGCAGAAAGAGAAATGGCCCCAGTGTTGGGGCCCCAGGTTGAAGCCCTGGCATTCCCTCTGGCTCACCATGCGACCCTGGCCAGTTGCACTGCACCCTTGACCTACTTTTCACTACAGGAATCCCTCTTATTAGTCCTCTACCCCCCAAAATATGCTTTGAAATATTTTCTTTTGGGGCGCCTGGGTGGCTCAGTCGTTAAGCGTCTGCCTTCGGCTCAGGTCATGATCTCGGGGTCCTGGGATCGAGCCCCGTGCTCCCTGCTCCGCGGGAAGCCTGCTTCTCCCTCTCCCACTCCCCCTGCTTGTGTTCCTGTTCTCGCTGTTTCTCTCTGTCATATAAATAAACAAAAAATCTAAAAAATATATTTTTTTCGCGATTTTATTTGAGAGAGAGAGAGAACACAAACTGCGGGGGATGGGCAAAGGGAGAGGGAGGAGCAGACTCCCTGCTGAGCAGGGAGCCTGAGACTTGGAGACTTGGGGCTCAGGCTCGTTCCAGAACTCCAGGATCATGACCTGAGCAGAAGGCAGACGCTTAACCGACTGAGCTACGCAGGCGCCCTGCTTTGAAATATTTTCTCATAACAAACTGCATTAAATAATTTATCTAACTAACCCCTGATTGCATGATCAGCACAAGAAAACCTGCTGATATCACCGTGCAATGAGCAAATGCATTCCCAGTGCTGGGAGGCTACGTGGCTGACATTACGGCGTACCTACTGTGTGTTAAGTGATCTCTGTATGTTATTCCATTTAATTTACACAACTATCCCCGGAAGTTGGTACAATCTCACCCACTCTACAGAGGAGGAAACCGAGGCTCGGGCAAGTTCGCCCAGGTTCACACAGTTAACGAGGCATGACAAACATGGGTAGTCACAATGGTAACTCTCCTCTATAAGCCCCAATCCCTGCGAATCCCTGAGAGCCCTAACCTTCCCACTCAGACTGTGACGCTCTGCCATTCTCTCCCCACACCCCCACCTGGCCTCTTGGACTCCTTTCTCAACCTCACCAGGGCCTAGGGGAGCATCTCCTCCACCCGCTCTGCTCTGGCGTCTTTAACCACCAGCCCCTTTCCCCTCGCCTTCCAACTGCATTCTGCCTGCATTTAAAGCAGACTTAAGAATAACCTTCCTCAGATCTTCACCTCCCTTAGTACCCCTCTCTGCCACAAATAACACCACCATCCACCTAATGACCCAAACCAGAAACTTGGCTGTCCTCCCAGCCTCCTGCTTCCCCGTCACTGCCCTCCGCCTGCCTTCTCCATGCCACTCATCTCTGTCAGACTGCCTGAGCTGCCGCCACGTCCCTGTGCCCCTGGCTGGACTCTTCTCTCACCCCAACCTTGCCCCCACTCCGACCCCTTCTCAGCTCTGCCACCAGAGTGATCGCCCTAAATCCAAATCTGAGCATGTCACCCCTCAGGTGAAAGCACCGTGATGTCTCATAACTTTGAGGAGAAGGCTACCAAACGTGACACACCTTCCTAGGCACCAACTTCACTGATGCACAGGCCACGCCTCCCATGCCTCAAAGCCCCACCTAAGCCATTCATTCTCTCCGAGAGCACTTCCTCAGTTTGTTCCCTGTCGACCTCCTAATCACCCTTTCAACTCAACGCTAAGATCATCTCTGTGCCGCACCCTGAATCTACTCCCCAGCCTCCCCACATACTAGAGCACACACACGAACATAGTTAGGTCCTCTTATGGACCTCACTAGCCCCCTGCCCTATAACAGCAACTTTTATGAGACTATTTCTTTATGTGTCTCCCCCACTAAACTCTGCTGCTGAGAAATAGACACTGAGTATTGGTCATTTCCAGTGTCCCCAGTGCCTGACACAGTGCAGGTGTTTGGAGAATGGCCAGTGCTGTCCCTCATTGCCACCATCCTCCCCCCTCCCTTCAACACCACATTTCCAGACAAGGCTCTACCCCCACCCCAAACCTTCTAGAAGCTGACTTGCTACCATTGCATCCACCCAACTCTCTCCATTGTCACCAGATGCTTCCTTCCTGCCCCTGCCAGTGCTCTGGGGAGGAGGCAATTAAACACCCCACTCCCCAGAAGGGCTTCTAGGGGAGTGGAGCCCTTCCACTCCTCTCTCTGTCAACAAGGAAGAGGTGAGAGTCCACACTATGCTTCTCTCTTTCTCAACCAGCTGGCTGCACCCTCCTCATCTCCCCGGTGAGCCCACCCCTCAGGGCAGGGTACAGCTGGGCAGCGGCTCTCTGTGAGAAGGCAGGGAAGGTCAGTTTGGGAAGCAGCAGGAGAAGAATGCACCATTAACTAGGGTCAATCCTCAGGGGATGTGGTCAGGAACAAACCACTCCTTGTGCCCCCAACCTCCAGCCACCCCCACCAGCATCCATGTCCTCGTGAAGAAAGCAGGCCATCCCCTGGCACTGCAGGACTTCAGGTTTGGGGACTTGCTTCCCCTACCCACAACTCCTTACAGAGGCCTGTAGTGCCTGAGGTCTAGTGTCTGACTCAGAACCCTGAGACACTCCCCGCCCCCCCCCCCCGCCACCCGAAGGTTCCTCATGGCCTCGCTCAGCCAGCCAGCCAGCAAGCACCCAGGCCTGGGGAGCAGGTTTTTACCATTTGCCAGAATGGAGGTTCCAAGGATGGAAAATGTCATTTGGTAAAACTGGTGCTAACAGGAATCAACATAAAGCAAAAAGAATAGCCATTTTCCCAGAAACACCCAACATGAGAGATGCATTTTGATGTGTTCTAATAAACCCAGGCAACTTCCCAAATCTCAGAAAGGGACTAAGCGCAGCTTCAAAAAAAGAAAGTTGACT